TTTTTGTTGAGAGAGAGAGAGAGAGAGAGAGAGAGAGAGAAACATCAATTTGTTTTTCCACACATTTATGCATTCATTGGTTGATTCTTGTTTGTGCCTTGAACAGGATTGAACTCACAAATTTGGCCTATCAGGAGGATGCTCCACCTAACTGAGCTACCAGGCCAGGATGAATATTCTTGTTCATAAGTCATTGTCACTATCTCTGATTGCTATGGACCTACAATGTGTTGTGAGCCATGTTACTATGCTGCTCTGACTTTAGAATTTAGGTCTTGTAACTAGGCTTCAGGACTTATTTTGGAACCTAGGGTACTTCATCAACTGAACCCTTCCCTTACTCTCCAGTCCTTGGTATCTTCATTCAAATTACCAAAACTCTCAGTGCCTTAGTTTTCACATCTTCAGAATCGAGGTAATAATAGTTACCTCTGAAGACTCCTGTCAAGGGTTAAATGAGATTTTAGCTGCTTTTTACTGGCCTTTCCTTCTACTCCTTGTTCTTCTAATGTGTTGAAAATCCAGAGTGAGCCCTGCCTCTATCACTAGGCTGGTCAAGTCCAATACCCTGCTCCAGGCAAAGGTATAGGACCCAAGCAAGTAAATCAAAATACGTTTTGGGGAATCAATATGGACACTGGGAAGATATCCTTTTGAGAACAGAAATCACCTGGAGCCAAGCAAGGGAGTCAAAGGAGAGAAAACCAGAGCCATGGGAGCTCGAGAGGGATTTGGAGCCAGCATGGACCCCCTGCATCCAGTGTTAACCAAAGCTTTGGACTTACCAGCAGGGACATGAATCAATAACTTCTCCATGTTCCATTTCATTTATTTTGGACTTCAGTTACTTGCCACCAAAAGAGCCTTATCAGTCATGTTTGCTATTAATTAGTACTTAACCCTACATTTTAAAAAGTGTATTCAACTAGCACCCTTACTTGTTCATTCTCTTTAGGTCACTGGATATAGGGTTTCATGTAATGACAAATATTATTGTTACAGGACTTTGAGATTTTCCTTTGTTACATTTTTTTAGAGTAAACATGTTTTGTTAGTCTTAATTTCTTTAACCCTAAAATAAACATTGTCCCAAATTTATAGTCGGAATGACTAGAATAGCTTTTCTTTTGGTACTGTTTTGCAAGCATTCATTTGTGGGGTTGAAAACAGTCACAAGTGTGGTTTGTCTACACATCAAAACCATGAAGGGCAAAAGGTTAATGAGCTCTTTCTTAGTTTTCTAGGGCTGCTACAACGAAGTACCATAGACTAGATGGCTTAAAATATCAGAAATATATAGTCCAATAGTTCTGGAGACTTGGAGTCAAAGATCAAAGTGTTGGTAGGGCCTTACCTCCTGAAACAGGGAGGGGAAATCTTCCTTGCCCCTTGTTAGCTTCCGGTGTTTGCCATCAGTCCTTGGTGTTCTCGGCTTGTACATACATCACTGCTGTCACATGGCCCTCTTTTTCCCCCGTGTTTGCACTCTCTTCCCACTGTGCTTGTTTGACTTTCCCCTTTTTTCAAGGACACTAATTACATAGGTTTAGGACCCACCCTAATAACCTCATTTTAGCTTGTTTATTCCTGTAAAGAACCTATTTCCAAATAAGGTCACTTACTAAGGTATTAAAGATTAGTAGTTCAACATATCTTTTGGAGACACAATTCCATTCATACAGGCACTGTTTAATTTTAAGAGTAGATGGAGTAGCTTATTTGCAAAGGTCACAATTGGTCCCACACTTGTTTTCATCTCCCTTGCAATGCAACTTTTCTGTTCCTCTCTTTAAGAACTAAATCTATTTCTCCATCTGCTTGAATTTGGACTTTTAGACTTGCTTTGACCAATAAGATGCAGTGGAAGTGATGTTACACCACCGCTTAGTCTATATCTCTTTTCTCCTACTGGCTGGAGACCTTTTTGTGAATAAGTCCGAGATAGGCAGCTGGAGGTATCAGTGGTTGAAAACTGAGGTGTCCAAGACAAGAGCCAGCACCAATCCCCAGGCATGTGAGTGAGGCCACCTTGGTGTGGAATCCCAGTTGAGCATCTAGAAGCTCGTACTGCAGCTGCATGAGTGACCTGCGTCAAGACTAACAAAAGAAGACCGAGCTGACTGCAGCGGTGTCCTGCTGGCTTTGAAGAGGTAAGCTGCCATGTTGTGAGGGAGCCTTGCGGCTTACCCCTGAGGGTGGCCCCTAGCTGAGATTAACCCCTCCTCCACAGCCAGCAAGAAAATAGGCATCTGTCTTACAGCTACAAAGGACTCAATTCTGCCAAGAATCTGGAGGAACTTTCAAGCTCTAAATGAGAATGCCTGGCCGACACCTTGATTTCAACCTCGGGAGAACCTGAGCACAGGACCCAGACATACGGTGCCCCAACTTCTGACCTGCAGAGCTGTGAGATCATAAATGTGTATGTTGTAAGCCACTGAGTTTGGGAGTAATTTATTACTAATACCCAAACCTTCTCTTTGCAGCCTTATCTTTGCATCAATGTAGCCCCTCTCTCCCTTGGCACTCCTAGGTCCTCCATACTCACTTTTCTGGGGGGCTCACTGTATTGTGCAGCTCCCACACCCCCCGAGGGAGTTGTAATCACCAGGTGGGAGTGTAACAGGTACCCGGTCAGCCCATTTTGTGCAGCAAAGACTTGCAGTGTCTAATGTGTATGAGCTGTTCTGTAATTGGTTGCAGAATGAATAAATAGGCATCCCATGTGGTATGCCTGTAAAATTCTATTTTGTTTGGGAACTGGTGGGGTCTAAGTTGCGGAAGGTGGCTTGTAAAAGCATTTTGCCTTAAACTTCAGCCTAGGGTCCTAGGACAGTGGCCAGGTCAGACCTAATTTGACATTCATTTTTAGTGTGGGTTTCCTATTACTGTAACAGTAGTGGTAGTTCACTCTCCGAACCCACTTGGTTTCCCCCATGCTTAAGCCATTTTTCCTCATCCCACATTCTAGTGTCTTTTCAAACCATTTTTCTTTTCATGTCTGGGGAAGCAGACAGACCTCAGAATCCTAACTCTGCTACCCACTAGCTAGGGATCCATTATTTTGCTCCTCTGAGGTTTCCTTGTCTATATAGTGGGGGAAATAATTCTTACCATTGACAGAACTGTTGTAAGGACTCGATGAGAATGTGTGCTGTATTTTGGAAGGAAAGCTCCACAAAGGTCACAGGCCTTGTCCTTTTGTTTTTGTCTGTGTTCACATTTGCCCTGCACACAGTGAGTGCTCAGTAAATTTGAGGAATGAGCAGTTTATGGAAATAATTCAGCACAACGTGGGGCAGATAGTAAGCAGTTTTTAAGATGTTCATTTTGCAAAAGAGTAAACTCACCTGTAGATGTCTACCTACGTGTTCTGTTCCGATTTAACTTCCAAGGATTCGCCATTTTATCACTCAATTTTAATAAGGTAGTCAGACACACAGGGATCATTCTAACCTCACGCAAAGGTCCCATTGCGGATCGTCATCCCTTAAATATAAGGCTCCCAAGAAAATTGACCCAGGCTAGCATTTATAAGGGAGTAAGGATTTCAACAAAACCAGGAAGGGCCAAATTCCAAAGCAAACAAAGTCGACTCATTCCCCACCCTGGGGGAGGGTGTTCACTCTGGTCTGCTAAAGATAGAGGAGGACCCTCCCCGGGAACTTCCTGGCTTTTATTAGTTTGTAATCCCAAAGGTAACTTTTCAAAGGTTTTTCTTTTGGAAGTGTGGGTGTGAAACTGCTTCCCTAATCACATCTTAAGGGAGGATCTCTGAACATCTGTGTATTATTTGAAAACTTAGCATCCGGTTGGGATGTTTGGGTGGGTGGGGGACCCTACATGGTGAGATGAAACAGCAGGCGCCGTTAAAAACACGTCAAAATGGCTTTTAAATAGAGACAGAAAAATTAGGCAAAAATTATAAATGGCTAATTACCTTGGCTCAATTACACGTTTAATCAGAAGCCCGCCTCCCCCCACTTTTAGCACTAGAGTAAGAGAAAAATAGGGTGCATAGAAGTCTAAGCGATAAATATCTCACCAAGAGCCCAGGGACAAAACTCATTACAGATAAGCCCAGTCCTCCCATTTTCCCCGGACGCCTCTCTCGGATTGCTATAGAGGGCTGCCGCTCCCCGCGTAGCTGCCAGGAAATCGGTGCTACCCCGCGGGGCTGCTTTCATCCAGCCGGGGGTAAGAGTCGCACTTCCTGCGCCCTCCCTGATACTAGGCCAGAGGGCGAAAACCCTTCTTCCTCCTGTGGAGAGGCAAGTTCGGAAAACTCCACACTGATCCACCGTGGCGGGAGGAAATGGGATGGGGAGCTAGGAAGGGCTGGATTTTGCCAGTCAAGGATCAATATTCCTCCCCCTACTACCCCAAGTCTTGGACTTGGCCAATGGAAGCCCGGAAAACAAAAACAAAAACAAAAAACCTAAGCAGCCCGGAGTGCAAAGGCCGCTCGGCTTTGTTTCCAGGCAGGGGACTGGGCCGGGCTAGGGGCGCGAACAGGGAGTGAGCAGGACGCGCCCCGCCGCGGTGCCAGGGCGATGAAACCCAACAGGGTACCCTGGAGCCCTAACAAGGCAGCCTGCCGCCATCCTCCTCAGACCCGAGCCAGGGCCCCCCCAAAGTCCCAGATCCGCGAGAAAAGAAAACGGTGGCGGGGGAGACCTCGCCAAGCCCTCGCCCAGCGCGGCGTCTTTAAGAGCTTGCAGAACGGCAATCTGGCAGACTCGTCAGCCCCAGAAGGCAGTTTTCTTTCTCCCTCTCTCCAAGATCGGGCTAGAGCCGCCCCTAACATCCAGACAGCCCCAGGCGTGTCCGCAGACCCCCGAGCCTCGCGCTTGGAGAACTGGGCTGTGGGACCCTCCAGAGGTGGTAGGAGAACGTGGCTGCTTTAAGAGCGTTGAGTGCGCGCCCCCGCCCCTGGCTGCGCGTCCCCGCCGCCGCGCGCTCCCTGCTCGCTCGCTCGCTCGCTCGCTCTCTCGCCGGCTTTAAAGTCTCTGCCAGGATCCATGCTCACATGTTACTTCCTGTATGGAGGCATGGCCAGTTTCCAGCCCCGCGCTCCCTGTTCCTCCTCAGCCTGCGCCGGAGCCACAACTTTCAGGAGCATGGACTGAAGGCGTCCTGGCCCCAGCGCCCCTCTGAGATCCTTTGTGTTTTCCTCCTGCCGTTTCTATTTTGGGGGGGCTCTTCGCTCCCCCCGCCTATCCCCTCCCCTTCCCCGCTCGCAAACATGCCTCCTTCCTTCCCGGGGCCCTGGAAGGAGCTGCCTGCCTGAAGCCCGGAGACACCGCGCTCAGCCCTGCTCCCGGCCGTCGGCTCTCTGGCTGCGCTGCGCTGCCGACTCAAGTTGGGTATCCTCGGCTGCTCGCCGCCGCCGCCTGCGGCCCCTGCCTGCCCCGGGCCCCGGGCATCGCCGCCGCCCGCCGACTCCTCGCCTGGCTCGATCAGCTCGCTCCTTTTTGAACGGAAAGCAGACCTTCTCCGCCGTGGATCGTCCTCAGCGTGGCTTCGCGTTCCCGGTCACTTTTTGAGGCTTTCCGGGGGACACTTGGCTTCCTGGATTCCAGGGGGACTCAGACCGCTGAGCGCGGGGGGCCCGCAGAACGGGCGAGCAGGGGAAGAGCCCACGTTTAGTGGAGGCTCACACAGAGGCAAGAACTTATTCAACAAGTTTACCCCCCTGCCTTCCTATTTTCGATGTGCGTTTTCGGACATGCGGAGGTTACTGGAACCGTGTTGGTGGATTTTGTTCCTGAAAATCACCAGTTCCGTGCTCCATTATGTCGTGTGCTTCCCGGGTGAGTGCTGGCCGCCGAGGGGACGCGGCCCTGACCGGCGCGCGCGGGGATGTGGAGTTGTCGCCTGGGCACGGAGCTTGGGCGCCTGTCCCGGGGACCCCGAAGAGGGTGGAGGGGGGCCGGGCGCCCTGGGAGGAGAAAGGGATCCACTCCGCTGGTTCTGACGGCGTTTAGGGAAGCTGGTGATTGGGGAGAATTGAAGAAGGGGCTGGGCGGGGAGGGGGACAGGGGCCGCGGGGGTCTGCTCTTGCTTTGGTTTGGGAGGCCTGGGGAGACAGAGTCGGGAGACAAGGGGACTCGCTCTGCTGATCGCCGCTGTTCGGGAGAGCTGGAACTCTGGGGCTGTTGGGGGAGACAGGGACCTCGGGGGGATGCCTCTGTGGGCTTGAGGGGCCGAGGGTGCGCCCCTCGTTCAGGCGGGTTTTTAAGGAGCTCAGAAGGGGGATGATTTCTTTGCTGTTCCCCGACCCTTTAGAAAGACTGAATCTCGGGAGGAAGGAGGGAGGCTGACCGTGGAGGATTGGGGACGTTGGGAGCAGTCTCATTCTGGTCTCCGGGACCTGGGGCGACCCCCGCTCGGCTCTGGAGCGCGGGCTGCGTTTCGGTGCTGGCGACAGGCAGCCTTTCCGGGCGCGGGGGCCTGGGCACTGTGGGAGGGCAGGGAGCAGGCGGTTTGGGGAGATTTCTGGCTCCCCTAACCCCAGCTTGCAGCCCGTTAACCCCGAAACTCTGCTCGGCTGGGCTGCTCCGGTCGGGGCGCGGGGCGGGGGGCGCGCGTTAGCGGCAGCGTTTGCTGTTCGCGCGCCGAGGCGGATTTTTTCCTCTCTCGCACTCCTGCCTACCTTCATCTTTGCCCTTTTGCAGGCTGTCCGCGGCTGGCAGACGCAGACCCGCTCCTTTCTGGCCGGGTTAAGACGGACAGTACTGGCCTTTGATGACGATAATAAGTTGCCGCACATAGCGGTGTGCTGCTCTGCGACCTTCCACTTGCAACCCTCCACCCGCAGACCCTCCCCTCTCCCCAACCTACCCTCGAGAAGGGCAGAGGCCAGCCGCCTCCCTCTGCCCTCATGCAGGCCCTCCAGACAGCAGCCCCGAGCTCCCTTGAATCCGTCCAGCCCTCTCTTCGGGGGTGGAGGCCACGTCTTCTGCCCTAGCTGTGGAGGGGTGGGATGAAGGAGGCGATTCGCTTTTCATCCCTTGCTCTCCTAAGGATAGAGAATCCTCCGGTTTTCTGCCTTCTCATCCATCAGCTCCTGGCTACCCGGAGGCGGGGGTTATCTGAAGTAAAAAAAGGAAACGTGCTCAGATGTATTTTGCTCTCCCTGGTCACAGCCGCCAGTCCTCGGGTGGCCCGAGCGCTTGGTTTTGGTGCAGCGGATCCCTCAGCTCCGTTGCGCGCCCTGCTAGAGAAGGGCGTGGGTGCTTTTGCTGCCCTCGGGGACCAGTAGTGTATGTCCCCTTTGCAGGCACGGGGGTGGCCTCGAGGGGCAGGAAGCATCATTCTCTATTCGGCACCTTCTCTCCTGCGCATTCTGCTGTTCCTGGAACCGCACTGAGCTGCCACAGCCCAGAAACCCAGCTCAATGTAGAGCGAGGACGTGCGTCCACACACCCTGAGGCCTGGAATTTGCCCACCCAGAGCTCTGCCTCCATGGGGCTGGAGGCAGTGCGGGCCTTTCCCCTTAAGACTGTCTTCTCCCCCTTGAAAGACCATTACTCAGTATTGGTATTAGTCATCTGCTCTTCCTAGACTTTATTCTTTGCCATGGACTTGACGGCTGAGGGAGATTAGGTGCACACTGGGGTCGAGCTTTTGTACGGGTCACGTTTTAATGGGGCAGCGGGAGGCAGCAGGAGAGCAGCCTTGCGAAATAGGAGGAATTTCTAATTCTACTCTGGCTTCTCCTTACGCTCGGCGTGCCGTGAGTGGGCCAGCCGTGATTCTCTCTCTTCCTGCCTGAGAATTCTAGCTTGAAATCCAGAGTGGGACCACCAGTGATGCCGCCTTCGTGGGGCTTGGACAATTTTCGTCTTCCACATTTTCTTTTCGTGCCCACGCTGCGAGGTAAATAGACAGTATCCTGGTCTGGGAGCCGAAGGGTGTTGGGCAGGGACAGGGCAGCGTGGTGTGAGTCGCGGGGGAGCGGGGATGTGGTTTGGAAAAGTACCGCAGAAGAGGATGCAGCCGCGCTTCAAACGAGGCAAAGTTAAAATGTCAGAGCTTTGGGAGACCCCGGCTTCCCTTTTTCTGAAGGTGCGGAGACGCCGCTGGACCTCAGGGGGCGCCCCCGAGCCACAGGCTGGGCTCCTGCCACCGCCACTGGTGGGACCTTGGTGCGAGCCGGGATGGGGCGCTCTCGGCCGGGTCCCAGGCTCAGGCTCTACGGGTGCGCTTCTGCGGGGCAGGCGGCCTCAGTTCTGCGCTGCTGCTCCAAGTCAGCTTTCAAACCCTTGCTCGATTTCAGTTTGGCACCCCTCCTTACTTGCCGTAATCTGGGAGGCGTTTATCTGCTTGACACCAGGGATAACAATGTTCTAGTACTGGATTAGAGTCCGTCTTGTGAGGTTTTAACCAAAATCCCTTGTTAGTTATTTTGTCTGTTTCGCAGAACTGCACCAACTAACTTCTTAGTTGCATTTGGATTCTCACCTGATGTTCAGGATACTGGGGAGCTGTAATTTGGGAGGGTTTTGGAAACAACCTTCGCATCATTTTGTCCCAGCAGATCTGAAACAGTGGCATTTAGTCTCGACAAATGTATGGTGGATGTGGAACCTACGTTGCTGTTAGTGTTTCCAGTGATATTTCCACTTTACAGAGCAGAAGTGTTACCAAACATGACACAGTGCATACATAGTATGTTCTTTTCATACATCTCTTTAAGAATACTCTGTTATGGAAAAATTTCTGAAAAGAGGAAAATGCAATGGACCCCTATGGGCCCCTCCCACACAGCTACAAGGATCAACTGTGTTCCCCCTGCGATACCCCCATACCATCTCCAGCACCTCCTTATTTTTAAAACACATCTTACAACTAGTTCATTTATGCATTTCGTATATATTGCTAATTACTGAGAGTGTAAGTGCATCCAACAGAATATAAAATATATTACTTTAGTGGGTTAACATTTTATGTATTTTACATTCTTAAGCTCTTCCTCAGAAAGTTACATTTTTAAAAATTGATTTCTTTTCTCCTTCCTCAAAGTGAAACCCTTCCCTTTGATTGTGATATGTTTTGTACCCTAATTAGATGAGGCTGACGTTGGAAACACTAAGATGGATAAGCTCTGCCTTGTACTTTTGGAGGTGTCAGAATCCCAGGATCCATGATTGATGTCTGGTGCATCTTCCTCTAAGCTGTCTCCGTGTATTTGCGTGTACATGCTTTAGTCCTGATGGACAGCCTTTATGGCCTTCTTAGAAAAATATGAAAGCAGTATTTCTAAGTCAGCTGTGGTATTCTTATGGATGAGGGGAGAAATCATGTTGCCTACCCCAACCCTCTTCAAGTGTCTTCTTTGAAAATAGAGTCTTTATCCAGTCTTTAAACTAGTTCTTCTGACACAGTTATGGAATAAAATCTTTGATGTTTTCTTCTACATAGTGTTCACATTAGAGTTGATGAAATTAGCACATTAACACATAATGGGACTTTTTGGAAATAGGGGAGGTTGCTGTTGCAGGAGGCAGAAAGGTTATATAAGAGAGAGTGGCTGAGGTGAGAAGAAGAGCCGGCCGGTAATGAAGCTCCGAGCATCTCCCCTTCATTATGGACCTGTTTTCACGGAATAAATGATTATATTGTTGTTTATATGAAGTGGAATAGGGAATGCTGATGATTTCATGCAGCACACAGAAAGAACCCTTTCATATTTATCCTTCTATTCTGAAAATCTCTCAGGTTAATATAATATGTTACTTATCAGTGCACCAATTGGAATGAACTTTCTTGCCAGTTACGTGAGATCATGTAAGATGCCCTAGAACAATTATTAGGGGACCCCTTCTACCTCCTTCCCCCATTTTCCTTGAAACTCATGGTCAAAAGGACATTCTGGACACTTAAAATAGCCTCACCTGGGTGAACAAAGCAAGTTAAGTGTTGCTGGTGTTTTGTTGCTTTAATCTTTTCCCTTCTGTGGTGAAAGGTTTTCTTTTTCTTCTTTTTTCCTTCTGACTTTCCACTCAACATTTAACTTTGAGCTTGAAATGTGGGTATGCATTCTGAATTGCAAGTGTAAAAAACTGATGATTAACACTTTCATTCTTGGCACATCTTCCATGTGGTCATATTTCATAAATCAGTATATCGGAGAAATTCAGGGTACCTAAAATTATCTCTAACGTGCTGATGTCCTCCCCAAATAAGCCCTTTCTATGCTTTGGTCACAGGTTGACCATTATCAGATTGGCAGGTCATAATCACTGAAACTGCATTTTTGACTGTTATCTCTGTGGAGAATAAAAGGTATGAACATCTAGTAATATAAAGGAAGCCAAGGGAGTGTGCCCTGCCCCCACTTTTAGGTCTTCACTGGAGCCGGATCCAGGCAAAGACCGAGGAGGGGCTCAGGAAGGTGAGAAATGTTCTTCTGGAAGCGCCTGTCCCCAGTAGGCACTCAGAGCTTTTCGTGGAATTCGGCAGCAGTCACTGAATGTGTTCTGGGACTGAATGTGTTCTGGGATAAGGTTGCCCGGGCACACCGTTAGGCCTTCAGTAAATGTTTGCAAATGATTAAAAGATCTGATAATTAGGTTTCCCTGTCTGACAAAAGGAAGTAACCAGCTTGCTTGCAAAGGGCCAAAAGCAGGACATGGCAGTATTCTGTGTACTTACAAGTTCAGATGCACATCTGTAAAAATGATGTGTTTTAAAAAGTTATTCCCCCCTGCTTTTCCCTGCAATTCCTTTTTGTCTCAAATTTCCAAGACCACAGAATTTAAAAAAATCGATCCAGCCCTGGCCTGGTAGCTTGGTTGGAGCATCTTCT